TAAAGAAAACGCAGATGCACGACTTGGAAGAAATGAGAAAAGAGAACAATGTAGATGCTGCACATAACGGTTAGTAATACATGAACTAGTGCTGGGCAGCTATGTTCCCGATGATTGAAAGCTAGGAATCGTAAGAATTGACTCCGATCCCAATTACTTACTTTCTAATGATGTGATTTCTTCCAGTGGTTACCTGGTTGGCTCCGAACATCTTCAGGATTTAGGATAAGCTTGATTTCGGAACACTACGAAGCATCAACTCTTATTTTTCAAAGATAAATTCTTTTTTTTTTAAAAGAAGAAGATTTTAATGATTGAAGTAACTGGTAAATGCTGGGTTTCGTGAAAGGGAACATTTTTCTTCCGTTGCATTAGTCGTGGGAATCGGTTCCGGAATTGATTCTTCGCCCAGCTCTAACATGAACTGAGATCCCACCAAAAAGACTAAGGAATGACTTTCAGAAATCACTCACATGCCTCACAGTTCTCAGTAACCCCCCCCCCCCAAAAAAAAAAACCCACACAAAAACAACAACAACAACAACAACAACCAAACAACCTAGAGAAAGAATGGGAAAGGGTTCTATACATACATAATTCAGAATTATTATAAATCATAAACATTTATTTAACAGGGAAACAATTTCCTTTTTCCTCGGCTGCATCAAACAGGCTGTCAATTGTCAAATTGAGTTTTTCACGTGAAATAGTTCACTTATTTAAAAAACATCGAAGTGAACAATTGGTAATGATTATCTCAAACTGTATCAGACAAAACTTTAAAAATGTAAAAACAGCATAAAGCTAAAAACACAAACAAAACTTAAAGCAAAAGAAACAAAATGGCACAGCATCCTCTAATTAATTTTCATGGAAGATCAAAGGTATACACATAAAACTGTCTCAAAGAGGCAGTCACTGTAGTGAATATCATCAACAGACCAAAGATAAAAAAAAATTCAAGTTTACAATATTTTGTACAATACATTTTAAACTACATACAATAATATACACAACTTTGTGCTTGATATTGACGGTCTAAATTATGTACTGCAAGAGGTAACGTAGAGCTAACATTTTGTTACTATCTAAGAGACTCAAAGAAATATATTGTTTCATTACACACACAGAGCATTCGACGAAACGAAGTCATAGAGATGGGAAAATACCCTGATCTTATCCATTCCCTTCCAAGTTTCACACAAGACTGCTATGGTATGGTATGGGTATACTATACTGGAAGAGTAAGAACGCACGAGCAAATCAAAGGGGAGATTACAATGATCCTTAAAAACAGAACAAAGGGGAGATTACAATGATCCTTAAAAACAGAACAACTTTGGCTTCACAATGCTGCAAGACTTCATATCGCTGTCCGTATTTTATATTACATGTTTGAACCTTGCCATCATTACAAATCATATAAAAGAAAGTGGAAGTCAGATTATAATGAAATGTGAATCAACAAGATGCAAAACAATATCTTAAAAAAATGCTTTAACTGTGTGGCTAACATAATAAGCTGCCTGCAGCTCAGATTTCTACCCTCAAGGCACTAGATAAGACCATAATATGACATCAGATTCTATTTCTCAATCTTCTTCTTCTTCTTCTTCTTCTTCTTCTTCTTCTTCTTCTTCTTCTTCTTCTTTTTCTTCTTCTTTTTCTCAGTCGCATCACACTTGGAGGCCGACATATATCTTTAATGCACTGCACCTTAGCAGAGACTGAGCCCACCATTTCGGAACTTCACGGTGACCGTAAATATGGTTCCTGTAGGGAACGGGAGAGAGGGTGCCCACGTCCCTCGTGACTCATTGGAGCAGAGGAAGATAGGACTAACGCTAACATTACTTAAACGCAATCCCACATCATCACTCTTCATCACCATTATATTATCTAAAATCATCAACGCTCTCAGACCAATGACTTACATCAATAATCCTGGAATCTCTATCTGCTATTACAGTTACTTGCTATACTAAGTAGGAACGTAATACACTATTGGACACTATCATACGCACTTTTCTTCTTTTAGACCTAATCAGATGGCGTCAATCTCATATAAATAAATGGGCAAGGGATTTTAAAAAATCTTATATATACTGACCCGCCCTGTCAAATTCCTCTGTTGGCCCGTAGATCTTCTTCCCCTTCCTCACAACATTTTTCTTACAGCCCTGAGTCCTGTCACGGGACCACTCTAGTGAAATAACACACATCTAGTCGTAAAATGGTGAAATGGTATAGGTTTAACGCCTCTATCAACAGTATTAGGTCATTTAAACAGCGGAACCTCCGAGTTTAACGTCCATCTCCGAAAGGTCCGAGCCAAATAGAAAATTCGTGTAAAGTTTCTTATTTTTTCCGAAGACACAATAGTAGATTGAGCTGAGACTCAAATCCTCGAACCTGCAATCTTATGATTATGGGTCAAGCAGTCTAACCACTAGGCTATACCTTAGCCCCCCCCCCCCCACCCTCCCCTGGAGTCCAGTTAAGCCATCAAATATAGCAATACAGATGAACCTGCTCTGATATCTATCTGTCCAAGACAATCACCTGTACAAACGAATGTTTCCTTCTTCCTCCTTTGCATTTTTTGATTAATGACACTATCCAAAACACCCAACCACTTTTCGCCGCAACAATGTGTGGTCTTCTACGGCAACTTTCGACTGCATATCAACGTTCTAAGAGAGAAAAAAGATACAGCATCAAGTACTGAGTGTCACAACCTCTTTACAGACGAAGAACATAATTCAAACTCAAGCACAGTAAATGGAATGTGAGCATAACATAGTTGTTCACAGTGGCCATCCAAGGAAAGCAATGGTTCCCACTGGCTATCTTCAGTATAATATAAAATATACGGAATGTTATAGGCACTTGATATAGGCACAGAAGGTACACTAACATCTGAAATACTGGCTAAAGAAGGCATCTCGTAGCTTGATATGTTTTTGTATAGTGATATAATGGAATGCTTTGAAAACCTCAAAAATATTATTTGTGAGGCAGCATGGTGGAATCAGGCTCTCGTCAATTTTTGGGCACGTAGAGTTATTGGTATCATCTTAAAGCTGGTTTACTTGTCTTTATATGGATGAAAAAATTATCCATTTATCTTGAACACAAGTCGAGATATTTGCGAAAGGAGGTGGGGTTCACCTATTTTCAGAGGTAAAATTAGTGAGAAAATGGCCGCCAAAGATTAGTTATTTCCTTAGATAAAGAGTCCGTGGTAACTAAATTTTTTTTGTACCTTTAATCAATGTTTTTCAGAAAAATCCCCACAGAAATGAGTTCTTTGATGGGCATGAAAGGTGTTGCGCCAAAAAAACAAAACATTGATAAAAATTCACAAATCTGCTGAAAAAAATGCGAGTTTCTTCACTTTGATTATTTTGACGAGAGCCTGATTCCACCACGCTGCCTCACATTCACTGAGGACAGAAGAGGTCCCACCTGTAAACCACGGTAAGAAAAACAACAACAATAAAAAAAAGCTAACTATAACCCCCCCCCACCACCCCCTACAGTTAGGTTATGAATAGTTTTTAGTGCAAAATAATCTTTGAAAATAATGTTACACCTTCCAGTTTAAATGTCTCTATTCTATTTTTCCGGCTTCTGTAAAGAATGTGTCTCGAAAATTCAAAGTAGATCTAGCTCAGTTTCTCTTTGCGGAGTAAAAAAAAAAAAAACATAATTAAAAGAAAAAAAAGTAAAATTGTCAATGTTCTCAATGATGACTCCTGATTTCTTTTGGCTACATGAGCCTATGCGTAGACTGGTAGAGACTGTCTAAGATTGTTTAGGCTGTCTCCATGGTTTTATAGACCCCGCATAATTTGGCAAAATTTGATCATTTTTTGGTATAATTTCTGATTATTTTCCTTTTTCATTCTTTGTTAAAATTAACAGAATCGCCGAATTTCACATTTTTGGGCTCAGTTTGCATAATTTCAGATTTTTTCTTTTTGCATAAAACCGCGGGGGCAATTTTGGGATCAGAAAAAATTATCAAACCCAACAGTCAAGTTATCTAAACACAACTTCTTAATAACCATGCTCAGTGAGGGAAGCAAACTAAGTCAGTACATACAGGAATTTCATTGATGTCGTCGAGAGTTCCTGTCTTATTGTTCACGACCCTTACAGCCAAAGTCACGTAGAAATCCCTCACCAGTTCTTGTTCTCCCAGACCAAGTCGCTTATATATATCTTCCATCCTACAGGATTGACCAACTCAGACTTAGTTAGGTACTTTTACTGCAATCATTCTAATTGTCCTTGACAAATATTGTTTAAGTCAACTTCTAAAACTTCAAGCAAAAGCAGTATAGAATTCTTTTTTTTTATATCTAAAAAGAAAAAGTTCAGACTCAGTCAGTTTTGGCTAGACTGGAGGAGTAAAAGACTGGTCAGTATTACGTGTTTTAGTTTTAGTAGAGGTTTTACGGCGCTCGCAACTGCATAAAGTCGTATGAGTGCGAACCAGTATTACGTGTCACATTGGCTAGAGGAAAGAGAGGGCAAAAAATAATCTGGCGCTGTAAGGGGGGGGGGGGGAAGGAGATCAAAAAACTTTCTTTGACCGTCTTCTTAAGGAGGCTTTTATAGAACACTGATCGGACACGCAGCTAGAGTTAATTATTTGTGAGGCATCGTGGTGAAATCAGGCGCTCGTCAAGATAATGAAATCAAAGAAATCGGCATTTTTAGGCCACTTTGGAATTTTTTTTTCGAATTTTAGTTTTTTGGCTCAACACTTTGTATGTCCATTCAAAAATACTCTCATGTGTGGATTTTTATAGAAAAACGTTGATTAAAGGCGCGAAAAATGTAAATTTGCAGTTTCCAAGGACTCTTGAGCTATGGAAGTCCCAATACTCGGGCAGCCATTTTCTTGCTAATTTCACCTCTGAAACCAGGTGACCCCCACCTTCTTCAATCGCAAACACCTCGACTTCTATTCAAGATAAATGGATACTATTTTTCATCAAATGCAAGGCAAATGGACAACCTTTCATGACGAGTGCCTGATTCCGCCGCGTCATGACACAATTACACTTCCAAGATAATAACTTTGGCTACTGGAACAAAAATCCCTGAACACAAAATAAAGTCCAATAAAAGAATATTTTCTACTTAATTCAAGCAAAAAGGAATAAATACCAGTCAAATTTACGCTCTACACAGGGTTAAATATCGTCCTTTGTAGCAGAGTTCTACTGGACTTGCTACTTTATTTCACTGACACAAACAAAACATAAACCAGCCTGACAGTTTTGTTTTGTGGCCAAAAAAACTTATAGTTTATCCTTAATAATAAATATGGCTTCTCTCCGTCAGCTTCTGGAAGGGATACCAATAATTTATCAACAACATTTACAATATGTTTTACAACGTCGAGTAGAAAGATTCGTATCCTGAAAAGGACAGAATTTACTTCTTCATTGACAATGAGCATTAAACAATATTATGACAGTATATACAGCCATCAATAAATTAAAATACATCATGCAGAACGCATAATGCTGAGTCATACAGTACGTATCATGTTGAGAAATGAGAGGAAAGTGCCTTTGTACAGAAATTAAGACCTCAGACAACAAAACTACTAAGCTAACAATACAAAAATCTTTATCGTTTACAACAAGAGCCGCTCTTTTTCTCGTTCATGTCATGGAGTTGCATGCCAACCGTCTTCACCTCCATGTCTTCATTGGTGCGGAGTAGTCTGAGGAAGGGAGAGAGAGAGAGTTTTAATTTAGTAGAGGATTTTACGGCGCTCGCAACTGCATAAAGTCATATGAGGGCCAAGGGGTGAATGTAAACAGAGAAGTCTTAACATGGAATCATACTTACTCTGCTCATCTCTCTAGCTTCAACAGCACAAAGTCTGCTTCAACTATCAAGGCACCTCGGAAATAGCGGGTCACAAGAGTGTGAATAAACATACAAAAGAGGTAGAGGAAAAATGACGATAGTAAGGATTAGGAAAGAAAAAGCAGCAGTTCCCTGTTGCAGTTCAGGCACAGTTATGAGCATGCCATTGATGAATCAGCCCATTTACTATTACAATTCTACTGTGCATAGGAACTCGAGATGTTCATTCCCCCCCCCCCCCCGCCCTTTGGGAATGGACTAAAGACACTTCAGTCAGTAGCACCGCCCCGGGGGAGGGGGGGGGGGTGACAGGCAGGGTTGAAGACTTCCTCCTCCTGAATAATCTAATTAGTGTTTGTTTTTGTGAAGTGTTTTACGGCGCTCGCAACTGCATAGGTCATATGAGCGCGCGGGACACACCTAATATTTTAAGTTGGTAGGAAATTTTGAATTTTGCCCGGGTGGCGGCCGAAGCCTACTCTTATCGATTTTAGACCACCAAGGGATCTTTAACGTGCGCAACTTGCACACGGGCCCTCCGAGATTTTTCGCCCTTGTCCGAGAAGGCTAGGTGTAGATCTTTCCTACCAGAAGATCAGGGGTGTGGCAGAAAGACAGCAGTAAGGAGGAGCTAAGGAGCAGCAGTAGAAAGGCTGCAGAAAGAGTCAGGAGCCCAGAGGAGGGGGCAAAGGAGGTGAGGGGGCGGGGGCAGAAAGTGGAAATGAAAGCAGACGAAAGAACATTGCCAGAGAGCAGGAAAGAAGGCGAAAGGAGACAATTTTAGAGAAGAAATTTTTTCGGTCGCTACCCGAATCTAATTAGTGTCAATAGCCGCCACATGGACACCTACATTACAAGGAAAGAAGACAACATAACACATGTTAACCCTGTCCGTACGCCCTGGGGTCATTTTGAACCCCCGTGGTTGTATTCTTCACATTTTAGAATACTTCTAGATCTAGTACGAAGATCTCTTTGAAACTTTCAGTATTTCTCAAAAAAACCTTTTTGACAGACTGCTATGAAAATCGTACGGATTGGATTAACGAGTAATAATTTCCTCTTTGGAAAGTGGTGGCACAGAGTTCCCCACGTCGTATGGAGGCGATTAGTAAAACACGACGTACGGGTAGAGTTAAGTTCTAACCACAAGGGTGGGTAGGGGTAGGTGTTTTTTAATGCAACCCCCCCCCCCCCCCCACTGATATGATTTTGCGTGATATCTCTGTTTTTTTCTAAAGTAGAGGAAAACACTGATGATATGCTTTTGCGTAATATCTTGTGTAAGTTACCTGGTGAGTTCTATGACTGCTTCTGTAATGTTGGAGCCGTCCTTCGCACTTGTCTCAATGAACAACGCATCCAACTCCTGTGGGCCAAGGGATAATGGAACGTTGTAAGTTTTTTTTTAAAAAATAAGAGTTTTACGGCACTTGCAATTCAAAAAGGTCATATTATAAGTACCTAAGATAAGAGATGTTACAAGAGAGTAACAAACACAGAAAAGAAGGAGGGGAGATTGTTTATTTTTTAGTAGAGGTTTTACAGCACTCTCTCTCTCTCTCTGTCTCTCTCTCTCTCTCTCTCTCTCTCCCCCTCCCTCTCCCCCCTCTCTCTCTCTCTCTCGACCTCTCCCCCCCCCTCTCTCTCTCTCTCCCTCCCCCCTCTCTCTCTCCCCCTCCCTCCCCTCTCTCTCTCTCTCTCTCTCTCTCTCTCTCTCTCTCTCTCTCTCTCTCTCTCTCTCACCAGGGACCTACCCGACTGAGTGGAACACCGTCCTCATACTTGACAACTCTCCTGCCCTGACTCTCCAACTCCTCCCTAGCGTCTGTCTTGTTCCCCCCCCCCCCGCTCTCTCCCCCCCCCCTCTCTCTCTCTCTCTCCCTCTCTCTCTCTCTCTCTCTCTCTCTCTCTCTCTCTCTCTCTCTCTCTCTCTCTCTCTCTCTCTCTCTCTCCAGGGACCTACCCGACTGAGTCGAACACCGTCCTCATACTTGACAACTCTCCTGCCCTGACTCTCCAACTCCTCTCTAGCGTCTGTCTTGTTCCCCACCAACATGAAAGGGATTTTCTTCTGGGCACCCTCCTGGAAACAGAAGACCAACAATGAATAATGATTTAAAAAGTAACCAGGAACATTCCTCCGCCTTCATGAATAAATGAATTTAAAAAATAAATAAATAACTAAACCAATGAATGAATGAATGAATGAATGAATGAATGAATGAATGAACGAACGAACGAACGAACGAATAAATGAATAAATAAAAGAATAAATAAATAAATAAACAAATAAATAAATAAATAAATAAATAAACGAATAAATCAACGGTTGCATGACTGCATGAATGAGTAAATGAAAGAGTAAATGATAAAGGCATTTAAAGAAATAAATAAATGGATGGATGGCTGGCTGGATGAATGAATAAATCAATAAATAAATGAAAGAATAAAGAAATAAAACTAAATGAAGAAGTGAATGTAGATAATCGATTAAATACGTTAATGAATCCACATGTATAGGTTACATGCCAAATCCAAGAATAGAAGAAGTTTGAACTCATACAGCTTTTTGCCAAAGTATAAAAACTGTAATAGAATCATAACAACCTGGAGGAAGCTCCACCAGAATAACAATAACATAATGGTAATATGACACACACTTCAAAAGACACGACACAGTGTTCAAAAGATACCATATTATAATGAAATACAGTTCAAAAGACGTACATTTCAAAAGACACTATCAGTGCTAGCAAAGCTACGAGCGTACATACAACAGGTAAGATATAGACCTTATAAATACCACGCCTGTTATTAAATAAATGGTATTGTTTTTGTCAATGAAAACATTTTCTTCAAATAAAAAAAAAGTTTTAAAAAATGTCTATGAAATCACTTATAGATCTATATTCTCCTTAATCAGACGTAGGCTATATTAAAAAAAAACAAAAAAGAAAAAAAACAACCCAAGAATAAAAATAGATCATCACCCCCATGCTGTCTACGGCATTCAGATACATTGTGTAGTTCAGAAAGAAAGGTTCGATGACCCATTGGGTGCAGATAAAGCGGTGTGGAATCAGACAGATGTAATCTGACACACTAGATCTAGATCTACATTCGGATATCTGTAGCAGAATGCTTGTTTGTTTTGTTTGTTTGTTTTTGTAAAGTGTTTTACGGCGCTCGCAACTGCAAAGGTCATATGAGCGCGCGGGACACACCTAATATTTTCAGTTGGTAGGAAATTTGGAATTTTGCCCGGGTGGCGGCCGAAGCCTACTCTTATCGATTTTAGACCACCAAGGGATCTTTAACGTGCGCAACTTGCACAC